CATCAGATTTAACAGTATTTCTTGAAAAACCTCTATAATTAGGATTATAAGTTTGTTGAATATATTCAATAAAACCGGGATGTGAAGGAAAACTATAAGGTAAACCACAAACAGAAACCATTTTAGCTAAATTTTCACGATCTCTTTCCTTATTATATTTACGTTGTGTTAGTGGACCACCGGGGTTAGAAGGATCTAATGTTCCTTGAACCATGTTAGAAGCCCCTACCGATTCATTAACATTAATATCAAAATCATTAACTGGAATTCCTTTTTTTCTATTGGCTAATGATTTAGCTTCTTTATATTGAATTGGCACACAAGATAACAAATGTCTATTTAAGCCCCCCGTCCCACATTGACCTCCACCTTGTTTATGTTTAAAAGGTTGCTTACATTTATTACAAATAGCAATAGAATTTTCCTTATCTAAAGTCATAAATTGTCACACAACAGAAGTTTTAGGGCGTTGATACTTCACCTTCTCCCTTGTAGGAGGTATAAGGGGTGGCCGTCCAGAATTTTGCTCCGTTGAATTTGTAGTTTCATTTGGAACATTTGTCATCGGACTAGTAGGTGTATCTTCTAATTCATCTTCTCCCGAACCAACTTCTACTTCTTCACCTGAATTTTCATCAAGATAAGGATTAATATCACCATAAATTTGTTGTAAAAGTTCATGATCGAGTTGAGCATTTGAATCAATATCATAAGAAGTATCATCAACATAAGTAGAATCATTTGTATTAAATCTAACTCTAGAAGTACCACCACATTTACTCTTATTTTTTTTCTTACTACTTTTTTTAGTAAAATTAAATAATCTACTAATGCCACTTGGTTCTTTCTCTTTTCCTTTACCGGTATCTTTTTTGTTAGAACTCATATTTAATTATATGTAAAGTATAATATAAAAATAATAATAACACAAAAATTAATGACGAAAAATAAAATATAAATATTATGAAACGAATGTACCAAACGTCTGCGTTAATAGCAAACGTTATAACCGATTCTTGAAGCTTGTAGTTTGTTGTAACTTGTAACTAGTAATTTGGAACTCCAATATTTGATAGCAAATATGAGAATTATATATATTATGATATATAATATGAAAACTTAGAATTGAAATATATGTATTATGATATAATATGAGACTTAAATGAGAATAAAATATTGAGATTTGAGACTTAAGATTGAGACTTGAAAGAATATAAATGAGAGAATATATAATTTTGTAAGAAATAATAAGGGATAGAGGGGTATTTATAATATTAAAAGTGGGTTAAAGTGTATTTATAATAACTTGAGGGTTTAAAGTAAATTATTAAAAGTAGGGGTGGTAGGGGGTGTTGGTAGGGGGAAAAAACTGTCAAAAAATCCGTTGGGGGGGCCCACTAGCCGTTGCCCAACGGATAGATTTTATAAAAAAAAATTTGATAGGGGATCCCGCGAACCGATCGGTTCATCCGGGCCGGGACCGGGCCGGGTTGACCGGGACCAACGGGTGAACCGGACCGGTACCGGTCCCCTAATCCCGAAGGCCCCCATCCCGCGAGATTCAAACGGGACCGGGTCCAGCGAGCCGGTTCTCGGACCGGTCGCGGGCCGGGGCAGGCCGACCCGGTCCCCCTGCCAGTCCTAGTTGTATTGCGGCTAATACATGCCTAATAATGCCCTAAAAAACTTATTTTCTTATCAAATATAGATATTCTATTAAAGAGTATATGCTTTAATTTGTGATACTGCAGAAATAAGGTGCAGAAATAAGGTGATGAAATTTTTTTGTTCCCACTTTTAGTAATACTAGTTTCTGGACACGTGCTTCGCACGTGTGTCCCACACAAGTAGTTCATACAAAATAAATCATATCAAAAATACATTGTAATGAATAATAGAATAAAGTGAAAAAGTACAAGCTAAAATAGATGAATAGTTAGCTTATAGTCAAATGACTTCTTCGTTGAACAATATTAGATGATTAAATATTATTTTAAACTACAAAATTAAACGACTAAATTTATCTAGATAGGTAAAATGTATAATGAATTATATTTGAGCAATATTTAATGTATTGATATATTACATGATACTCGTTCATAAGTAATGTTCTTGATGTGTATTCCACTTGTTGTTTTGATTACCGATTTCACCGGTTAGAGTAGTTTCATTCATCCACTTTAATTATATAATTAGGAAAACATTAATAAACATATATCACCAAAATATTATATAGAAATACCTATTCTTTTTCATTTATCAAAAAAAAATTTACCAACTTCAGCAAATTTAAGGTATCAAAAATTAAAGTTTCAAACAACTTCAAGCTAAGCAAAGACTCAAAGCTAATGGTAAAGGACCAAAAGTCAATCTCTAACACTTCTATGTCAATACATCAGATTAATTTTAACTCATAAACATGAATATAAGAAACATTGATAATTTATAAACCTTAAAACTCATAAAATATTATATAAACAAGAATAATATATTTTTACGAACACGTTCACAGAAAATAACAAAGCTGAAAATGAACTTACTCTTTAAAATCTTTCCTCTAATGCTTCCCCTAATGGAGAAAGTTGTACATATTCTTGGTTTATGAATTCATTTATATAAGTTGATCATTGAGCATAATTTAATGGAATAGATAAGATCATTCATCATCAATTAAGTTAGGTAACTAAAGAAAATCAAAAGTTTTATTGTTGGAGACAAAAAGACTTGAACTATGATACAATGTTCTTTCCAACTTCCAAAAAATAGCTACGTACAACCATTGTTATGCGATTCATACATTGCAAGTACAAAAAAACTAAGAAAAGAATGAACAAAAATTACACAAGAAAATGTTTTGTTGAGAAAACATTGTATTCTAAATTACTACATATTAAGATACTACGCTATAATAAGTATTTGATAGATGAACAAATATAACATGTAGAAGCTTCAATCAAACTAATAAATGTTAGAATGTGAAAAGGTTGTATTCTAATTAATATTGAGGAAATTTGCTACTATAATAATTACTGGCAGATGAAAAATCTATTGCTTATCCGGTTCAATGCATATGATTATTAATAAGTTTTATATTTCAGAATTATAGTTACGGGACTTTTAATGTTATCTTTATATAGTTAAAATATTATTATTTATTAAGATATTTGATTAAATTTATATTTAGTGTAGGGATAAAATGGTAATTCAACTTTTCATTTTGGAGGTTCCCACTTATAATAATATATGATATATATGATATGAGGATTCATAGGAGGGAACAAATCAAAAAGGATTTTTATGAAACAGGTAAGGAGATATGAAAAAGCCTTAGGTTAAAAAGTCAACAATGAAAAATGTTTCTTTGTCACGGCTAAAAAACTCCATAAGCACGATTAATAGGATGAGAAAAGCTTCAAGTTTTATCAACAAACGATTCCCTTTTACTGTGGATCTCTCTGGAGTTATCATAAATTATCTAGCTTATGTTGATGATATTGTTATATTCATTGGAGGGAATAATAAATCAATCAGGATTACCATGAAGCAGGAGATATGAAAAAGCCTCAGGTCAAAAAATCAACAACAAAAAAAGCTTCTTTGTCACTGCTAAAAAAATTCCATAAGCAGGATCAACAGGATGAGAAAAGTTTCAAATTCATTTACAATATTAATATTGGGACTCTAAAATTCTTTCAAAATATCCTTTCTCACTTGGAGGCTTCTTCAAAAGAAACTCCCTTTCTATGACACTATGGACATGTTTGGTACTAACCATTTTATTGAGTGTGATTGTTGTAGATTAGCACAGACATATACTATACACCATATTTTTATTGACGCCAACAAATCATGGAGCAGAATAGGCGATCCATTAGGAATTTGACATCAAAAGGACTCGATCATCACAATTTTCATTAGATGGTGGAGGATACAACCTTGCAACAAGATTCGTGGAATGATCCTCCAAATTGCTCCTATTTATATAGGCTGGGAAATTTTGAAACTGATCAAGGACATCACGTAGATATGTTAAAACAAAGAAACTTTCAATAAAACAGAATGAAACATTAAGGACTTTGGGAAATTAAATTTGTTGTTTCTAAACTCTATGACAAACTTGACTTCAATTTCAAATGGTACGACTTGTGTACAGTGATCGAGAAATTAAGACCTATCAAATTAACTGTAAAACAAGTTCAATTGTGAGAATGGGGAAGCAGGCATTGGAGGGATAGTTAGAGACAAAAATGGTTATGTTATGATGGTTTTTTCTATACATGTTCAATGTAACAGTAACAATATGGTTGAAGCTCTTGTGACGGAGTTTGGAGGAAAATGATGCAGTCAAAATGGACACACTGATTTTGATCTTGAACTTTACTTCTGGTAATTGTTAATATGTTGATCAAAAAGCATACTACCAACCTCAGGCTTAAACAGATTATTGAGCAAACCATCAAGATTATGGAACATTGCAATGTTAGAATCAACCATATTTTGAGGGTAGCAGACTGTTTGGTTACGCTAGCTTCAGAAACTGAATAACATACGTACTTCAACAATTTTCAGCAGCTCCGATCCCTAGACATGTTAAGGGACCATATATATCAACTTGATAAATGGAAACTTCCTAGTTTTAGAACTAGTATGTATGATAAAGCTAATTTTTTTGTTAGTTGATGTAAATGTGGATGTAGAAGGAGTGAGAGTATGTTTTTGTAGACAATCTCTGGAGAATTCCGAAAAAAATGACTGGTTAATATATTGCATGAAAGAAAGGGATGCTACAGGTGAAAAGGAGTGACATATGTTGGGCTTTGAAAAGGAATTATCACATTTGGTTCTAATGCCTCAAAATAAAGATTTTAAATTATTCTAGTCGTCATTTTTTATTGACCAATAAAAGTTTCTAAATTATATTGCGGTCTCTAATTTGCCAAATGATTTAGAAGTTAAACATTTAAAAGTAGTAATGCCTATTATTGTTAAGAGTGTAGATTAAGTGATTAGTTCCCTCATTTTAGGAGGAATATGAGGACGCAAAGACGACTCTTTGTTTACTTGTAAAAACTATTATCATGCGCCAATTTTTCCCTTTGCTTTGAGAATCCTCTCCCTGCCATTCTCCTAAAGGTATAATCTTCTTTCTTTTCTCCTTTCTCTCTAAGCTAATTTCTTCCCTTTTCTCTATCTCACATAAATATATTCCATACCTTTTACAATAATAACATCTTTTACATACATTCATGATTCACATACATGTTTATACAGAGAACAATATTATATATGTTATGTTGTTCTTAAAATAATTAAAAATATATTTTTTCTTTTGTTGTAAAAGTTTCTTATTTTGATCTTTAATGAACAGGGTTCATTGTTTGGGAGAACGGCAGGGTTTAAACGACGTGTTTTGACATAAAGTGTGATCATCAAGACTTTATAAAAATGTCTTCATCATCTAAGGATGATCAATCATCCAATACACCATCTTCGGATTCTTCATCAAATTCACCATCATCATCTTCTTCGAATTCTCCATCATTTGGCTCATCCTCAAATTCTTTGCCATCCCAAGACAATTCATCTCCATCCAATGATTCAACATCCCAATCTCCTCCTCAAAGTAATTCATCATCTTCTCCGCCATCAGGGGATAATAATAACTCGTCTCCTTCCGGTGGTAACAACAACAATAATGACAATAACAACGACAACAAGGATAACAACAACAATAATGGTAACAGCAACAACAACAATAATGGTAACAACAACAACAATAATGGTAACAACAACAACAACAATGATGGTAACAACAACAACAATGGTAACAATGATAATGACAACAATAACAACGACGGTAACAATAAGAATGACAATAACAACAATAATGGTGGGAACAATAACAACAACAATAATGGTGGTAACAATAATAATAACAACAACAACAATGGTGGTAACAACAATAATGGTAACAAATCTTCACCACCAGGAAAATCGTCAAATTCAAATGGAGGTTCATCACCTCCTCCCCCCCCACCACCACCACCTCCTCCACCACCTCCTCCTTCTCCTTTTTCTCCTAACTCCGGGTTTCTTTCTCCTCCAAAGCATAAGCCACCACCAAGCAAGTCCTTAGATAATAATAATAACAACAAGCCTAATGATAACGGGACAGCCATCATTGTAGGAGTTGCTGCTGCAGGAGGTCTATTACTTCTTGTCATGTTAGTTTTCCTTATATCATGTTGTAAACGCAAAAGGAGAAGGCCACGCGACCAAATGGGCTACTACAGGGACAATTCTCATGGAGGCAATAGTATGTTCTTTCTTCTCTTAACTTATACTGTATGTTTTATGTTGAGAGCATACTGTTTTCAAATAGAATTAGCTTCAAATGCAGTAGCTATGAAGAGAACTGGTAAATGTGCAGAGTAGTGAATATGTTTAGGTTTAAATAGTGTTAGTATTGAGAATGTGTATATGGTGCAGGTACTGACTACTATAACAGTGGACCATATGGGAATTGGCACAACAACAACAATATTCAATCAACGGATCATATGGTGAAAATGCCTAATCCACAAGCACCGAGTACTAACGTAAGTTCAGAACTGAGTTGGCCAATAGCACCTCCACCACCACCACCAATGATGAGTAGCAGTGAATTAAGCTCTGCTGCTTTCTCTGGTCCGCAACAACCTCCATTGCCACCCCCACACCCATCAATGGCTCTTGGTTTTAACCAAAGTAGTTTTACATACGATGACTTATCTACCGCAACTGGAGGATTTGTTAAGTCTAATCTATTGGGACAAGGTGGTTTTGGCTTTGTACATAAAGGGGTCTTGCCTAATGGCAAGGATATAGCTGTCAAAAGTCTAAAAGCTAATAGTGGACAAGGTGAACGAGAATTTCAAGCTGAAGTTGAAATTATTAGTCGTGTACATCATCGACATCTTGTCTCTTTAGTTGGTTATTGCATTGCTGGATCTCAAAGGTTGTTGGTATATGAGTTTGTTCCTAATGGCACTCTTGAGTATCACCTTCATGGTATTAACTTAATTTCATTTTTTTTATCTAAATACTCATTCTACATATGTCGTATTTAACTCATCGATCCCTTATTTAATTAGGAACTGGTCGCCCTGTTATGGACTTCCCTACTAGGCTTAAAATTGCATTAGGATCTGCCAAAGGCTTCGCGTACCTTCATGAAGATTGTAAGTTCATATATACTATTCTCATGTCTATATATTCTAATCACAAATTAAACTTCTATTTCATATATAAATTACAGGCCACCCTCGTATTATTCACAGAGACATTAAAGCTGCTAATATTTTACTGGACCATAACTGTGAAGCTAAGGTATTTGGTAAAAATAGTTGAAACATTAAGCAAATTGATTCCTCATTCAGGTTTCTAACAAAGTTTATTATTACTCCCTTTGTAAGGTTGCTGATTTTGGATTAGCTAAACTTTCCAACGACACTAATACACATGTTTCTACGCGTATCATGGGTACTTTTGGGTGAGTTTAGTTTGATAATTCTTCAAATATATCCAATGGATTTGCATTAATCGAAAGAGTATATTTATTTGTGTAGGTACTTAGCACCAGAATACGCTTCAAGTGGCAAGCTAACTGAAAAGTCTGACGTCTATTCTTATGGTGTTATGCTGTTGGAACTTATAACTGGGCGTCGTCCTATAGACATCAGCAGTGATGATGATACTTTAGTGGAATGGGTATACCATGATGATTACTTTACATCTTCGAATGATAAAAATTAATTCAGTAGGACATCGATCAGATTATTTAAACATATATGTATATATGTGCAGGCTAGGCCAATTCTGATTCGTGCAACAGAGGGTGGAAACTACGATGAATTAATAGATCCACGTTTGGAAGGAAATTTTGATGCCCAAGAGATGCTATGTATGGTAGCTTGTGCTGCTGCATCCATCAGACATTCAGCAAGAAGACGTCCCAAAATGAGTCAGGTTAATTTCTTCTTAATATTTGTCAAAAGCGTTTCCTAATTCACAATTTTAAAAAGTATAGTGGTCCAGCGACTGACATATATATATATATATATGTTGTAGATTGTACGTGCTTTAGAAGGTGATGTGTCTCTGGATGATTTAAATGAGGGAATGAAGAAGTCCCCGAGTACTGCAATGTTTGGTTCTAGTGAAAGTTCTGAATACGATGGAGGTTCATATGACCTTAAGAAATTCAAGAAATCTGGAATGTCGAGTCAAGAATTCACAAGCAGTGAACATGGTATCGGTGAATTTGTCCATTCCGGTGGTGAATCTCAAGAACATGGGCAGAAAAGGCACACCCCTTAAGGAAAATGGATCATACCTTCAACTTCTGATGGATCTATAAGTAATAATTACACACATTTGTTGGGCTTACAAGGATGCTTTAGGCATTAAAAACTAGTTTTATGGGGGAAATATAATAATGTATTTAAACAACAATTGTGAAGCTTTATTAGAGATTTGAATGCGGGTTGTAAAGAGTATCACATCCTCCTAACCATTCTGTGGTTGGCTTTGGTTGTCAGTTGAATCATTTAGTTTTGTTCGACTTTGGAAGTTGGGATATATATACTAATTCTGAATTGTTTTCAATATATTTCGTCAATGTATCTGCTAATTACTAGTCTTTTCTTTGTTTACTTTTCATTAATTATATGTAGGTTTTTACTAAAACCTATTTTTGTTGTTCTTTTATTTCACATTTTATTAAACAGCTTAGACCATTTCCTTTCTATAGCTTTTGTCAAGCCCAATTATGTACCTAAACAAAGAACTAAGCGGTGTTGTAAATATGAACTGAATACAAGTGTCCTTAGCCCGAAACTCGATCGATATACGATCCCCTCAATGTTAGGGGCATTCAAAAGCATCTATGGTACCTCCGAGGCATCCAGCCAATACCCTTTCAAGTGATAAAAGTACATCACACGTTTTGATCAATTTTGCTCATGAATTCACATTCAACGAATTCTATATTTATTGGGGAAGGTTTTAATTCTTTCCGCAACTTGGATCGCGATAGAAAACTCATTGAAAGGGGGAAGTCACAAACGAATTCTAACGGGTGATGAAGAGTTTTCTGAGCCATGACCACATTCTTTGAGGATGAGACTGGATTACAGAAAGAAGGGTGTTATTTGCTGAAGAGTTCCCTAGCTAGAGGGTCTAACTGGTTTTTAATCTGAATTATTATATAAAAATACAATGTATATCTTGCCCTTAACCCAATAGATACAATTGCTTATCATTCCCTACTACTTCTCAATTTCCATCAAGTGTTGTCTTATTTCCCAAGCCACTAATTAATCCTCCTTTCCGAAGTTCTCATAGATATTTCTATTATCGAGAAGCCTACAAAAGTAAGAATGGAAAGAAGAAAAGAAAACTCCACAAGTTGGATTACTCGTGTGTCCAAGGGACAAATCCTATTAGAAATGGATGGTGTGAGCTTTTCAAATGCTCGATAAGCCGCTACATTAGCTATGCATAAACTTTGTTCATAACCAAATATGTTCACTGGTCATAAGCTTATTAATCTAACCGGAATTTGTACTTCCAATTCGATTCCACCGGATTGAAAGATCCATCAATAACTGTGATCTCTTTCTTTGAAAAGAAATTGCATAAATCCTACCTTTTTTTATCATATGCTTTCTGTTGGTCAACAACAAACTCAATCAATTCATTAACCATTTTTCATGCAAAAAGTAAAATCAAAGCTATATCGAAGTTTCATCAGCAAAATCATGCAAAAACAAGAAGATGCACCCCAAAACCTTATGTCATAATTGGTACTAGAGCTCCAACATACAAACACAAGGGATAGTTAAATGGGTAAAAGAGGTTCATTCATAAAAGAAAGAAAAATGGTATTAATATTTTTTTGTGGGTATAGGTGGTTGGGGTAGGGAATGCAGGTGGGGTTGGGTGAGTTAAGGAAGAAAATCTAAAATAAAAATTGGTAACATTTTTTTGTAAAGAAAGGGCTGGAAGGGGGAAGGGGCTGGAAGGTGTTAGCAAAAATGTAGGGATTCTTAACGGAATCCGAGGTTTTAGCAGTTGGACATGAGCTTACCGGAGAAGCTTGAGTTATACAACTATGGAGGATGAAAAGATAGAAAATGAAGAATAGAATTCAATAGGAAAGTGTACTTGTATATTCAAATTATGATTTAATATGTAATGTCTTATATAAAAATGAGAAGGAATCTTATCTTGCTAATTGTTTCTAACTAATCCAATAGCGTAACTAACTACTAATAAGGCAAAGCTAATTAACTTGATCAGTTGATTCATTTATTGTGTAACAGTACTCCCTGTTGCAAAGTAGATCCTTGACCTCAAGGATCTAAATGAGGAAACAGTCAATTGCTGCATATTGTGGGGTCCATCCCATGAGTTTTTGGGTCAACAATTGCGGCTGCAATTGTTGTAAAGAAAACGCAGCTGAATTTATTTGTCAACAATAGCTGCAAACCTTTTTCTTTTGTCAACAAAGTTTGCAGCAATGCAAATTTTTGGTGGCATGATTTTTGAATAGTGCAATGCAATTGCATCTATAAAAGGAGCTCTTCAGCTCCTCATTTGATACACCAATTCACAGAGAGAGTAAAATATTTAGAGAGTTGTGAGGTTTTCATAGACTATATAAGAAAATAGTTTGTGAAGAAAAATTGAGTGTGAGCAATATTTTAGTAAGGTGGAATTCAAAAGAGTATTATTCCTTTTGAGTGTGTAGTAGTCACTTTGAGTATTGTATTCGTGACTACACAGTGTAAAATTCCTTACTATAGTGATATCAATTGCTTCTCTTGGCCCGTGGTTTTTTCCTTATTTAGAAGGGTTTCCACGTAAAATTATTGGTGTCATTATTTTCCCATTTTATTTCCATTACTTTTACTATATATATTTTTGTGCTTGTCCGTGTTTTTCCAATAAATTGGTATCAGAGCTAAGGTTTTATCTGAGTATGCTCTATGGTTACAGCACAGTCTGAACTTCCACATCAGAAAAGATTTACTTTGGTTTGCAATAACTATTTTTTGAGGGGGAAACGGTGGAAGCCAACACAACTAGAATGGTCACTTTGAATGGTGTTAATTATGTCATTTGGAAGGGGAAAATGGAAGATCTACTTTATGTCAAGAATTTTTATCAACCAGTCTTTACCACTGTAAAACCTGATAATAAAACAGATGAAGAGTGGAATTTGTTGCACAGACAGGTTTGTGGATTCATTAGGCAATGGGTTGACGATAATGTGTTGAACCATATTTCTGGGGAGACACATGCTCGAACCCTATGGGAGCATCTTGAAAGTTTGTATGCTCGGAAGACTGGCAACAACAAAATGTTCTTGATAAAGTAGATGTTGAGTTTAAAGTATCATGATGGTTCTCCGATAACAGACCATCTGAATAATTTTCAGGGGATCATGAACCAATTATCTGCTATGGGCATCAAATTTGATGAAGAAATTCAAGGCTTGATTCTACTTGGTTCCCTACCAGACTTTTGGGAAACATTTAGAACTTCATTGTCAAATTCTGCTACGGATGGTGTGATCTCAATGGATTTCGCCAAGAGTAGTGTCTTGAACGAAGAAATGAGAAGAAAATCACAAGGTTCTTCTTCGTCGGATGTCCTGACAACTGGCTCCAGGGGGAGAAACAAAACTCGTGGTTCTCAGAATAGAGAACAAAATAGGAGTAAATCCAGAGGCAGGCTTAAGGATATTGAGTGTTATCATTGTGGCATGAAAGGGCACACAGAGAAGTTCTGCAGAAAGTTGAAGAGGGAGAACAAAAACAAAGAGGAAGCTAAAGAAGATGGCAATGAAAATTGCCTAGCCACCGTCACCACCGAAGATCTTATTACCGTCCTTGATACGGATATGATAGATATTGCTTGTGATGAGTCAAGCTGGGTTGTGGACACTGGTATCGCATCTCACGTGACATCGAGGAAGGATTTTTTCTCTTCCTATACTCCTGGTGATTTTGGAACCTTGAGTATGTGTAATGAGACTGTTTCTAAGGTGGTTGGTATTGGTACAATTTGTTTGGAAACTAGTGTTAGAACTAAACTAGTTTTGAACAATGTGAAACATGTTCCTGATGTTCGTCTGCACCTAATTTCTGTTGGTGTTTTGGATGATAAAGGATATGTTAGTACCAACGGTGATGGAAAATGGAAACTCATTAAGGGTTCCTTGGTTGTGGCTCGTGGTAACAAACGTCGTGGTCTATACTGGACTACAGTTTCTGCTTGTGTCGATATGGTAAATGCGGTTGAGAGCGATGACTCTTCAACATTATGGCACAAGAGGCTTAGCCACATCAGCGAAAAAGGACTTAATGTTCTAGCTAAAAAGAAATTATTGTCAAATTTCAAAAGTGCTAAATTAGAAAAGTGTGAGCACTGCTTGGCTGGTAAACAAAATAGAGTTTCCTTTAAGTCTTATCTTTCTTCAAGAAAGACAAAGTTGCTTGAATTGGTGCACTCTGATTTATGTGGTCCAATGAAGACAAGGACATTGGGTGGTGCACTCTACTTTGTCACTTTTATTGACGACTGCTCGAGAAAACTTTGGGTATATGTCTTGAAGACTAAAGACCAAGTGTTAGGTGTCTTCAAGCAGTTTTAGGCTTCAGTTGAAAGAGAAACTGGAAAGAAACTGAAATGTATTCGTACTGATAATGATGGTCAATACTGTGGACCATTTGACGAATACTGCAAGCATCAAAGTATCAGACACTAGAAGACTCCTCCTAAGACTCCTCAGCTTAATGGTTTGGCTAAAAGGATGAACAGGACCTTGATGGAAAGAGTTAGATGTTTGCTTTCTGAAGCAAAGTTGCCAAACTCATTTTGGGGTGAGGCTTTATTGACCGTTACACATGTTATTAATATATCTACTGTTATTGCTTTGCAAAGTGATGTACCAAATAGTGTTTGGTATGGAAAAGATGTTTCTTATGACCATTTGAGAGTATTTGGTTGCAAAGCTTTTGTACATGTGCCCAAAGATAAGAAGTCAAAGTTAGATGCCAAGACAAGACAGTGTATCTTTGTTGGATATGGCCTTGATGAATTTGGTTACAGGCTATATGATCCAATTGAGAAGAAACTTGTGAGAAGCCGTGATATTATTTTCATGGAGAATCAAACAATTGAAGATATTGACAAAGCGGAGAAGCTAGAATCTTCAAGTTTTGATGGCATAGTTCATCTAGATGAAGTTCCTCACACAAGTATGCATGATGTTATTGGGCTTGATGATCATGGTGACGCCCATAATCATGTATTGAATCAACAT